AAGCTTGTTCTAAGTAGGTGCTTTAGACCACTGAGCCATCTCTCCAGCCCATGAAGAGTTTTTAATAAACAAAAGTGTGTTGTTTTTTAACATCGAGTATGTTGTTTTTACTAACCTTATTAAGTGGTTGGAGCTGGGGGTAAAAGCACATATGTACAATGTAAATGTACATATATGCATAGATATGAGTAAAGAATTCAGGGGAGCTGGAGATATAGCTCAGTGGCATAAGCGTCTGCCTGGCAAGTGGTAGGTCCCGAGTTCGATCTCGAGTACCACAAGAAAACATTCAGAGCTCATATAAATATTGCACTTTCAGTGTTTTTTCATACATTCACATGTTCCTGGTGGGTAGGTGTGTAAGTCCTTAGGTAAAAATATCCAGAAGCTGTTCTGATACTTGTTAGTTGTGGACTATACTGTTTTTACCTAACCTTATGGGTTTTGTGATCTTTTTTTTTTTTTCGGAACTGGGGATTGATCTCTTTTCTTTTAATGCTAAAACTTCAACCTTTTTCATGACAATAACTTGCTGGATGATATATACATTTAAATTTTTTTTTTAATGAATTTAGGACAGGGTCTGCAAGGTCTCACTACGTAGATTGGACTCATAGTGATCCTGTTTTTAGCCTCTCAAGTGCTGGGATTACAGGCGTACGCCACCATGTCCAGTCTCAATGGCTGTCTCAGCACGCCCTAGGGGCAGCGCTGGCACGGGACACAGGGATTGAACCCAGCCTCTGAGCTTTGCAGAAGCAGGCGCTTTAGTTCACTGAGCTATCTGGCCAGCCCTTATATTTAAATTTTTGGTGAATAATGTAAAATTGATGTCTGTATAGATGATAGTCATTTGACCACCCACAGAAATGTGAGAGAGTGCCTTTTGTCTACTTCGTTGCCTTTAATGTGTACCCAGTATACACGTTACTTGTAATGTACTGGGTTTATTACTCACCCTGACCCCAACAGGATCTATGGATATATAATTTATCCTAATTCTTGTTACCATAAGGTATTAAACACTTTTATCTTTTTTAAAATTTTTTTTTAAACTTTTGTTAGTACATGTTTACAGTACAGAATGATTACATTCACTGTAGGAAATTGCTATATGTAGGTAACACATTTCACTTTTTTTATTGATAAACAAATATCAATGAGACTGTTTCAAAAGTTGATTAATAGGACATTTTCAATAATTAATACATTGTACATTGTTATCTTCTTAGTGGTTATCCATTGTACAAGAAGCAGACAGGATATCCAGTCCAAACACTATTACTACAATAAACACTCTTATCTTTGTAAAATGGAAATTCATTTCTATTTTTTATAAGATTCAGATTTAAAAAAACAAAAATAGTGGGTGGCCGGGGAGATGGCTCAGCAGAATAAGTGTTTGCTTGGCAAGTGCAAGGGCCTGAGTTCAATCCCTAGTTGTGCAGGGGGGTGGGTGGGAGGAAGCGAGACAGTGTGTCTGTTGCATTTTCTAGGTTTGAACTTATGAATCTTGCCTCACTCTCCTAAGTACATGAGACTGCAGGGGTATGCTGCCATGTCCAGCCCTCATTTCAGTTTGAATTCACTTTTTTGGGAAGGCAATCTTGAGACAGGTCTCACTATGTAGTTCAGAGTGGTTTCTGATTTTTAGCAATCTCCTGCCTCAGCCCCTTGAGTGCTGAGACAGATGTGTACCACCAGGCCTGGACACCTTTTTCTTATGATTGAGATGGTTTTATGTTTAAATGTTGCCTATTTTTGCTTATATCAGCTTTTAATGCCATTTACCTATTATTTTGCTGGGGTTTTTTTTTGTTTTTTTTTTTTTTTTAATTCTAGTGAGGTTTTGGGGTTTTTTGGTAAATGAATTGAAAATTTCTCTTACTGCTCTTTATATGGTAGTCCTGCCATATCCTAGAGTGGAATATCTACTCATAGGTTTCCCACCACCTACTGGATGCCTAAAACTACAGATAAAATACTACATGTGAATAAATAATTTATAAACTACCAAAGCAAGAGATTAACAATATAATAATAATAAAGTACACCATACTGTAATGAACTTACATCTGATTTTTCTAGGGTAGGCAATGTATGCATCATGCATACTTTGGACCAATGGATGATTCACATCCCATAGAGTACAGTGGCAGAGAAATGATGTGTGTGCAATAGTGGGCTGTTTATCATTGAAAGCTCTAAAAGGATTTCTATTAATCGAGTAGTAATATGAGGTATCGTGCTACTCATAACAATTTAAAACTTAAAAGATATTCTAGAATGTTTCATTAATGCATTTGGATCGAGTTTAACTGAAACTGTAGAATCCGCTTATTTGATTCTAAAGCAGCAGAATAATTTAACATCTAAATACTAAATTCTTAATACTATTATCTGTAAAATTTTCATTCTTAGTCTCTAAGACCATTTTAAGGCTTTCTGTGTAGATAGTATATATTGCTTATTAGTTTTAAGGTGTGCTTTATGTAGCCAGCATATGTTTTTAAATTTTCCCTATAGTAATGCGTCTTTTCACTACTATTTTTAATATTTACCTTCATTATATTTTGACTGTTTCAATATAGAAAAACTACTCATACGTTTTTATTAAATATGAAACTACTATCTTACTCATTTTTTGATGAATTTAGTTTTCTCAGATTTTTTAGTTGTCAGATCATATCATTAGTAAATAGTAGTGTTACTGCTCCTGCTTACATTTTCATACCTACTTTTGTTAATATCCTCAAAAAAATGTCAAGAATAACAGTCTTTATGAAATGGATGAGAGTGTATATAGTATTTTTAATATTGTGTATGATGGCTTTATTGTGTTAAGGTATATATACAAGGTGTTTATCTGTTCATTAAAAGCTATGGAGGTTTTTTTTTAAAATCAGAAATGGATTTTTTCAGTGATACATGCCTATAATCTTAGCACGCTAAGACAATTGTAAGTTCAAGCCTGACTTTCAGCTGTCTCAAAAAAAAAACAAAAAGTTTTCTCATATGAGAGAAATTATGCTATATTTAACTTCGTATGTTTTAACTCCTTATTTCAGTTTAACATTATGGTCTCAAAATTATCAATACAGAATAAAATGATGGCAGATTTTTTAAGTGAGTATGAGTAAATCGGGGAAAAGGAGAGGAGGGGGTTAACAGATGATTAAAACACATTACATTTCTGTACTATTACCCAGAATAAATATAAATTTCAGATATTGCGTACATGTATGCACAACAATAAATAATGTTTAACATAAACATTATAAAAGGCCTGGGAATGTAGTGTAATTCAGTGTGAAGGTCTAAGTCCCCAGTACTCAAAGAAAATAATTTTACAGAAAATGCTAGTGTCATCTTTTGCTTTTTATTTTATTTATTTTTTGTATTTTAGGGAAGGGTCTACAGGGTGTTCAGGGTCTCACTACTAGATCGGACTCATAGTGATCCACCTGTTTACAGCCTCTCAAGAGCTGGGATTACAGACCTGCGCTACCATGCCCAGTCTTAGTTGTTGTCTCAGCACACCCAAGGGGCGGGGCCAGCTGGCAGGCTTGGGGATTAAACCTCTGGCCCAAGTGCCTGCTTGGAGGCACTTTAATCTGCTGAGCTATTTGGTTGGCCCTATCTTTTGCCTTTTAATTTTTTTTCTTTTTTTTTTTAGCTCAGTGAAAAGATGACAAAGGGGAATGGAAGGGAAAACAAAAAGAATCAAGATTTGATATATATGTATCAATGACCTGTACTAAATATATTCATTATGTATTACAAACACAGACTAATGAAAGAAAGTTTTAGGAAAAAGGTTTATGAGTACATATTTTATGTGAGACACTTAGAATTCTTTATAGTAATACAAACTTTTGTTTTGTGATTATACCATACAAATTTTTGCTGTGACATTCAGATGAGGCCATGAACCTAAAAAGCTATGAGTTGCATTTTAATGGGTATGAAATCTTTTATGTTTATCATAAATCTGTATGTGCTGACTGAATATTTATACCTGGAGACTTTAATATCACACAACTCATGTTCAGGTGTCATTGAATATGTAATTGTTTCTAAATTTCACATTATACTATACTTTGAGATTGTACTATAAATCTTTTGTGACTGAGTTATATAGGTATGTTGCTGAGATGATTTATATTCATTCATGTTACTTTTAATTTGAGTGCACTGTTTCTGAACCAGCCACTTGATGTAGCAATTACTTGACTTGAATGTTCCTAAATTCAACATACTCAGTTACAAGAGCTTGGTAGGAATTACTATACTTTTAATAGAAAATTTTAGTTTTTTCTCCCCTCTTCATTGACATATTTATATTTTGTATTAGTGACATAGCAAACATTTTATTGATGTCATGATTGTACATGTGACTTAAAAGTAATATACTTTATAGTTATTCTACGTTAAAGGTTTCTAGTTAATAGTTACTATTGCGTTTGTAAATTAGCAGTTAAAATGCAGTAGAACTCATTTAGCTTATTGATTCTAATTGGAGCATTGATTCAGAAGCTACTATCAAGATCTTGAAGTGATTTGGATTATAAACAGCATCTTTTATCACTGTACTGTAAACATGTAAATACATTTTGTCTAGTCAAACATTGGGCAATAGTAAATTAATTTTACTCAATTATGAGAAATTGTTTTCTTTTTAAAAAAGTAATTGGAACCTCAAGTCTGATTTAGAAGTAGGTATCTTAACACTTTAGCTATTAATAGTATCAAATAACTTAAAAGCAAATAAATTAGCTATCTTGATTTGAGTTTAGCAACTTTTTAAAGTATTTAGACTATAAGTATTTTCAGAAATTCTTAATTTTCTATACACCAGTGTTCTTAATTGTTTTAGGCTGCAGTGCGTGGAGCTCGTTTCAAAGGGCAGGATCTGAAGCTGGCGTGGAATAAACCAGTAGCCAACATTTCAGCAGTGGAGACAGAAGAGTTGGAGCCTGACGAAGAGGAAGTATGTTTTGTTTTCTGTCTTTTCTTGCCTCTAATTGTTCATAGTGCACACATATATGTGATTTTTTATTTTTAAGGTTATGCTTTTGACATAAAACTTTCATTCCTGAGCCATATGCCAGATAAATTCTAAATTTTCTGGATTAAACGGATGAAATGTTGATTGCTAATCCAAAAAGAATATATAAAAAATCACACACACACACACACACACACACACACACACACACACACAGTTTCATTTACTCTAGAAGATAGTATTTATTGATTAGATTTTTATCCACAGGAAATTTGGTAATATTTTAAGTTTTAAGGTATCTATTTTACTCATTTGCTATATTAAATGTTAGCTTTCTTTTAATTCATTTTGTTTTAGTTCATTAAATTGAATGCCTACTAAATGGTAGATTCTGTAAAAGGCACAAAAATGAATAAGACACGGTCCCTATTACCAAGGAGCTTATAATCTGAAAAGGCATGTAGTGGCAGATATATAAGAAACTAATTATAATAGGCAGACCAGTGTTCTGAATGAAGATTTGAACAACATGCTGTAGGAACCCCGAGGAAGGAATGATTATTCCTGACTAGAGGAATTCTTAAAGGAGGTATCAACAGTGGAACTGGGCCCTAAAAATAAAATAGCTTTCCATCAAAAGTGCTGGGGAAGGTATTGTAGGCAGAACTGTAAGCCTCAGGATAGATATAAAAGAATGCATTTTTCTTGCATAACAGCTGTCAGTCTGATGGCTTAAAGGTGTGAGCATATAGCACAGTAAATGGAAAGCTTTAAACCAAAAAGTTAAAAATAAGCAGCTCTTTTGCTTGATTATGCTTGATTATTTAAAAAAAAACTATAGGAAAAGTTGAAGTTAAGAAATAAAGATAAGGCAGGGAAACTAAATGATTTTGTGTTTTACCTTCGTTAGGTTTTCATAATAGCACTTCATATTGTTTGAAAAGCACTTGAAGGCTGTTATACATACCCATAGTTAAATGCAAGAATAAAATGTGTATTTTGAAACTCATATACATGATTTGTCATTTTATATTTTAGATTATACCTTTGTCCTTCCAGGAGTTTGAATTGAATGGGGAGAAAAGCAGGCGAGCTCCTGGTATTAGGTATTTTGAAAAGTTTGGACAAGCATTCTGAGAAACATTTATGAAAGAAATGGGGAAAAGGAATGCTGTAAAAGAAAATGTGCATATAGTAGAAAAGAAATCATGGGAAAATTCTATACAAAATTATTCATTGATTCAGTGTTCAGAGTTCAGGTCAGAGAAAACTGATGTTTTCTTTTTCTAAGTAAGTGTTGAGCAACATTTCGAAGGATAGAAGATGGCGTCATTGGTTAGCGTCAGGAAGTATGGCATGTACACAGTCTTGATTTGCCATTTCTTCAGTGATGTTTCATGCAAGCATTAGTTCAGATATTGTAGGGAAATCCTTGGATATAGGTTGCTTGTTTCCTTAATGTTCTAGCTAGATAAATACTTTTTGTATTCAACTCAAAAAGAGAGATCAGTTTTAAAAGTGTCACCTGTTTTTCTTTTTCTTCTTTTTTTTTTGGGTAAATTCCTAAATACATTTTAACCTAAAGTTTCAGGAAGAGTCTTTGGTGGATGACTCATTACTTCAAGATGATGATGAAGAAGAAGAGGACAATGAATCTCGTTCTTGGAGAAGATGATTTGACTGATCATTGACCTACATATACTAGAACTCTACCTGTGTTTCATTAGTATTATCTAATGTACTTTTACATATTTGTAAAACAATTTTTGGTAAAATGTGATGAAGATGGATTTCACAAATAGACAAAAGAGAAGAAAATACCTTCTGATCCTGTATTTTGAAAAGATTGATGTTTGCATTTAATTTCAGTAAACAATTGCTAAAGACATCACACTAGAACATATGCAATGTTTTTATTACATACTTCTACTGAACATTACAGAATTCTTTGGGTTCTTTGTAATTTAATGAATAGGTCTGAAAACTTATGACCCAACACTTGTTATAATTTAGAGGATTTTGTTTTAGTCCAAATAAGGAATGAATTTGCATTTAAAATCTTGATGAATGTTTTCAAAAATGAATAGATAACATAGTACCTAACTGACTTTTCCAAGTTATGTATTCATAATATTACATAGTAGTATGCTTAGGCTTTACTATGTATTAGCCTTTTTGTTGGACTTGTGTATGTATTTTACCACATGGGTTTTAATGATAATGGTGTATGACTGCTTCACATATGAGCCCTTATGCATCTGGATGTTAAAAATAAAGTGGAATGGTCTCTTAAAAAGAAAAGAAAAGAAAAAAAGAAAAAGCAGTGAGAAAAAAAAAAAAAAAAAAAAAAATTCTTTGATTTAAAAAAAAAAAAAAAGAAAAAAAAAAAAAACAACAAATAATAAATAGACCATTCCAGACGGTGATTGGTACCCTTTCCCCCAGTTATCACAAAAGGAGCTATAATCACTAACTTACTCTTAATAATGGTTACTGGTAACTTTATAATAATGTACAGTCCATTGTTTAAAATTTATACCACTTCAGTTTGGTTTGATCCTATAAATTTTCAACAGATGTCTTAAAATTTAAAAGCAGACTGATTAGTTTGGAACCAGACTTCAAATAGAGCTAACATTTGGTGAATAAGAAAACAACATATTACATTTTGGATGTATGAGAGAAAACTTGACCATTTGAAGATGTATGAATAAAGAAATGTACTATAGATACTACTTTAGGAAAACACTGTTTGGTAAGTGTTCCAGTCTGATACTTTAAGTGTGCATTTCTTATACTTGTATAAAAATCTTTGACATTTGCAACAATATTGTGATTTTTAAGTGGATTTCTCTGGCAAGTGAACATGATCATTGAAAATTGATAATAGCAGTTTTCAGGAAATAAATATATTCTTTGTAGAATGAGGGGGGATTATTATATTTCTCTTTTAAAATCCATCACTGCAAGTTTTGCAAGTGTTTCTGCCTTTTTTGAGATTATAGTGATAATTTTTTAAAGCACATTAAAATATCACTTTCTTCCATATTGGGGTCTTCAAAATTAAAAATCTTTGTTCTGTCACCACCACCATACTTTTCTGGCAAAGGAGTAACTTACACATATTTTGGTTTTTATTTTCCCCCTATAGTTAGGGTTAAAGTTATATGTTTTTGAGGATAGTACTATTTCATAAGGGTATTTGACTTGGAATAGATTCATGATACAAAAAACTAGATCCATGCTATATTTTTATGTAGTCTCTTGTATATTGAATTTGTGCTATTCTGATTCATTAGGTAAGTTTGTTTTCTTTTCTTTTTAGTAGTCGTGAAAGGTGCCAAATTGGCAGAGGCTCACGTTTCTTCTCTTTACACCAAACAGGTATTATAAAGAAAGTAAATCTTTCAAAGGCCAGTTAAATCTCCGTGATGTTTTTGGCTCTATAATTTGATTAGTAAATTCTAGCCTTACAATGTAACTAAAATTACTTGCTCTATTTTAGTCCATAAATAACTAATAAATTTCCCTAGCCTAAAATTCTCTGGTAACCTAGAACTTGACATGTTGGCTTTGAATGAATCAGAAGACTCAGTGTTTCAGTTTGGTCCCAAAGTATGATGATTTTATTTTTTATTTTTTTTTCCCCTAGAAGCAGGGATTGAACTCAGGTTCTTGTACTTGCCAGGGAAGTGCTTATTCCACTGAGCTATCTTCCCAGCCCCAGTATGATGATTTGAAAAAAAAAAAAAAACCAAAAAACACCATTAGTTAGGTTTGCATTTATACTTTCATAAACATTAATATATTTTAATTTTATCAGTATTATTTGGCTATTTTTTAAAATACTAGTACTCTACATGTAGTTTTGTGTAAAATTTAAGGTAGCTCTTTAAAGTAGTTGTTAATTACCATTTTACAGATAAGAAAACTTAGGTTAGCAGAAATAAAAGTGACTTACCAGAGTTACAGCTATAGCTAAGAGTAGAAGGACTAGATTTGAGTACAGGCATTCAGATTTCAGTGCCAACTTTTTATTGTTTGACTGCATTGCTGTCTCCCTCCTAATACTGATTGAGCATGTCATTTTGCTTATAATAAACATGCTAGTTATTGCCTCAAAAACTGCATAAAATTAGCTTTCTTGATCATTAGGCACTTCAGATTTTCAACTCCCTCTTAATACAGCAGTTTGTTCATATCTCTGTTTACAATACTTACATGGTAATACAATTTAATGGTTTTTATGTCTGTATTCCCTACTACATTCCAAGCTCCTCTAGGAAAGGGACCATGTCTTATTCATCTTGTCTCTATAGTGCTTATTGTAAAGCCTGGCATATGTGGGTACTCAGGTGTCTGTGGAATGAAATAATGAATGAATGCATATTTAAATCTCCAGTAATGAGGTGACAATTACCTCCCTTACTAATTCTTACCTGTTTTCCTAAAGTCTCTCCACAGTCTCCTCAGTCACTGAGACCTTTTTGCTAAACAATTGATTTAGTTAAGCTTTTCATTTGATGCGTTACAAGTACTGTTAGATGTAGTCTTGGAAACTGGAATATCTATAACAGTTGACAAGGCATTAATATTTTTGGAGTATTTGTAGTCAGTTTCAGTGGTAAATTAGCTTCTGAGTTTCTATAGTATGTGACTAGAACTGCTGAGAGCCACTAATCTAGTCCAGAACCACTGATCCAGTCTATACCAGTTACTTTTTGAAGTCTAAAGATGACCTTGTATACAGAACTGGACAAGAGTTAAGAGATTGAGATTTTGGTGTTGGCTATTTAATTCTGTGGCCTTCTCTTACCTTATCCAGTGTTGTTTGTCAGTAAAATGAAAAGGGTTGGACTAGATGAGCTCTCTTGAGGTCCATTTCACATCCATAGTTTTTCTAATGCTATCCTAATGTTTGATCTAAAATAATGTAGCTAAATTCTGTTGGCTTTTGCTACTGTTGTTTCCATCATATCATTGGAAACAATTTGATGTCTTTGGTATAGTTTTATATATAATGTTCCCAAATGCTTCCATGTGCTGGCAGAAAGTCTGTTGAACTCACATAGATTAACTGTGGTGTTCACTTGCATCCCCTCATCCCACGTATCTTTTCCTTTGCTTCTATGAGTTTCTCCCCAAATATGAATTTAAATCCTGTTTTCTTTTACTGTATGGTACCTAAAAGAAATCTTAAGAGTGGTGCCTTGGTTCATGAACTTAATTGTTCCATATTTCTGAAAGAGATGGCCATGTTCAAATTCATGTGGGAAAGATAGCTGCAGTCCTGTTCATCACCCGATGCAGAGTTTGCAGATAAAAAGTTTGCCAAATACTTCTGTTTGCAAACCAAATTGTTCGCAAACAGAAGCATTTATAAACTGAGGTACCACTGTAATTCCATAACTCTCCGAACAAGGTTTTTGATTTATTGTACACATCTAGACTATGCAGGCTGATTTGAGAGTGGAAAAAGGATTAAGGGCAACATAGGTAACTACTTGCAGGAAAAATAGAGGGAAATTACATATTACAATTAAAAGGTTGATTAAGGTTTCCTTGGGATGCTTGATTTGTCATTTTACATATATCATGTTTATGAGCAATATTGTTTAATGTTATTGGATAATTGTAACATTTTAAAAATCAAGTATTTAGTTGATGCCCAACCATTTAATGAAAATGTAGGAATGGGAAATACTCCACAAATTGTTTTATTGTGATATGATCAAATGTAACAACCGGTAGTGTACTATAAATACAACTGTTTCAGCTGATAACATGTAGCAAGTATGATTGAGCTTAACTGAAGAAAGTATCTTGTTACTAGGTGTTACTGGGGGGACTGTATTTCCTATTAGACACCAAGCATTTGGTATAAAGGTTCACAAAGAAAGCAAACTTTTGCTTGTTTGGCATGCTGAAGTGTCAATGGTTGTTTTATTAGCGGTTATACAAATTTTATTAATCTATAATTCTTTTTTCCTCTCACATATTAGTCCTAGAATTTATGTAAATTTTACAAGTTTTTTCCTCCTTTTACAGAAGTCTCTTAGCCTTTTCAGACAAAAGTGTTCTGAATGGAATTCTGGATTACTAAGTTAGTTCACTTACTGATCTTTCTCTTAGGACCTTTCTTCATCTAAAAGGCCTATAAATTAAAAATGGAAATTTAATGTAGAATTAAATCACCATTATGAAATATTTGTAAAACAGAAGATTCCTTTTCCCAGATAGGAGGGTCTTTTGTTTACTGAAGAAGTTAAGTATATAGGCTTCTAGAAAAGATTAGTTGCATTTTCTTTCTTACCATTGTGTACTTAGCAGATGAAATATAACTTTTTAAATAGTTTTCTAAAAGTCATGGGAAAGAAAAAAACCTTGGTGAACATGATTGTCATTGTCAGTTATTTCTAATGAAAATATTTTACTTGCTTAGTAGAAAAACACCTACTTTGGTAATAACTTTTTTGCAGTTTTGTCAGTAGTTTCATTATTCAATGTAAAGACATTTTTTAGGGTTTTTTTTTGGGGGGGGGTTGGTATCAACATTTTGTATTTTACTCCTTCCCAAACTGCTTCCTCCCTCATCTCTTCCTATCCAGAGTAAATCTTTCATGGGCCAAGAGCTATCTTATTTGATTAACTTCCCCCCCCTTTTTTTTTTTTATCATTTTTAGTTGTTGATCTTAGTGCTTAGCGTGGAATTTTATATCATGGGGTGATTAAAGTGTGAATTGATCATCATGTGGAGCTTAATTAGGTACCTGACAGCTATTCTGAAATCTCTGGGAAACTTTTAATTTTTGCTTTTATTTTTATTTAGAATAGCTTGGAATTTGTATATGATTTCTAAAAAAACTCTTTGCCTACCTACACTTCCATGAAAACATACTATCTGATGAGTTACTAGATTTCCTAGCTGAAAATTTTCAGTTATAGCCATGTTGTGTTACAGTGATCTTTGCATCTGAAGCATGGTACAGAAAGACTTCGTTAAAATCATTTAGCCCAAAGTTGATCCTTTGTGTAATTTGTCTACAACTTTGATTCCTTTCTCAAATAGATTTTGTTTTAATTTTTAAAAATTAAAGATCTGTATATGGTGTGATTCAAGTTTTAGATTTATTTGCTATTTTCAAAGTTTTTTTTTAATAGCTTTCTCTTCTTCCAGCAGAGAGATCATCATTGCCTGAATTAGCTTTGTGACTACAAGAGCAAGACCTGTTCCTGTCTGGAGACGACTGTTAATGATTATTATCACCTTATCATTTTGTTTGCTCTTTATCATTTTGAGTAGCTGTTTACATGTACTATAATTAGCATTTTATATTTACAGTACTCTAAGCATACACCCCACTCCAAATGTGTATCTAAATATATGCTGTGACCTCCCATAAATGTTTTCTCCCCTTCATAGCCATTTGTTTTTTAAAACACCTAAAAGAAGAAATGATGCCTTTTTTCCCCTAATGTGAGATATATACAGTCTCAGCCAAATTGATAATTGTGTCTAGAAAATCTATAAAGCCATGATAATGTGTTTATTAGCAATTTAGAATGAAGAAAATTAAAAAGTTAAACGTAAGTTTCGGTTTTAAATTTTCTTGGTTTTAGGGTATATTTCCAGGATCAGAATAGCCACTTAAAATAATTTTGAATAGATAATGTTAAAAATTTTTTTACATGCTATTACAGTCTGCCCTTTTCTTATGAATATGTTAAAAGTCATTGCCAAGGCTACACATTTTTTTCTTTTAGCTCTTAGGTTTTCAAAATTAGAATAATTTTCTTTAATAAATTATGGTTTGTTGATTATAAATACCGGAAAATAAATTTCTGATTTACAGTTTTTCATGTTGTAATTAAGACATCAGAGACAATCTTAAATGTAAGGGAAATGGTGTGTCTTCCATTGTTAAAGATCATAGTTTTCAACTCTTAAAAGTGTATGTATAAATTATAAGCAGTACGGTTGGGATTCTAAAAACTAAGTCTCGTTCTAAATATCACAGTATCATTTTGTATAAAGGGCAACATGAAAAAATGTTTCCACAGATTTATTCTTCCATAGATTCTTTGGAGCCATTTGAGAAGGTGTACATTACACTTAGTAACATTATTAGAAATGTCCAAATTACAATTTCTGTTTACCTTAGGGTTAAAAATTTTTTTTTTAGTTCTATGCAGCCATACTTTTTTCTTTTGGTGCAAATGTTTTATTTTCCCTAAGAATATGCATTGTGATTGAACAAATTATCAAACAATAAAATAGTGTAATGAATACATCACTCATAATGTAAATTATCTATTTTGATCTATATTGGTTTTACAAGGCATGTTTAAAGGAAAATTACGTGTTTTGGAAAGTTTAATACTACCTAGTCATCTACAAGGCTTTTTTTGTTTTAATTGGACTTTTCTTTTGATTCACATTACCAACTAGAAGATAGGTTCAGCGAGTTCACAAATATTTTCCCAGATTAGTTTGGTAGTCTATATTCAAGGAAAGATTCTCCTCCCCTACAGTGGTGGTTTAGATGCTACATTAGAACCCAAAAAATATTTTCTGAAGAGACCATACTTTCTGTAATTTTGATTGGTTAGTGAATGTGGACCACTTGTGATCATCATCAGCTTTATTTTGTCATCTTTTTTATACTTTGCTTTTAAATTAAGAACAAAGCAAAACAAAATTGAATATATCATTGGGAATCAAAATTCAAAATAATATCATTCTTGCTAAGATGATTGTGTTTTTGAAAATTGTTGTGAGAGCCAGTTAATTTATTTAAATGCTCATATGTTGCTAAATTAAAATAGGATTCTCATTCTTATTTCCTGAGTAAGAGTCTCACGGAGCTATGTGTACATAGGTAACTGTACAGAATCACATTTATGTACTTAAATGAAGTGGTTTACCTCTGCATGATTGCATTATGGAAGCCTTTTATATATCTTTATATTTTTCAATATGCTTAAATTTTACACTATTAGCTGCTCTAGTCATGCTATATTTGTTTTTTTTTTTAAATAGAGTTTATAAATATGCTCAAAATACAGATCAATGGAATATTTTTGGTCTTGTTTACAAGATAAATACTTTAAAACACACCCCTCAAGTGTCTTAGGAAAAAGTCAATGGTGCTACAAAACCTTTCATTATCACTTTTGAACCTGTTGTCTAGACTTTGCTAGGCTTTAGTCTATGATTGCTTGTGATTTATTCTAATCTAGTAGCCTAATTATTAAAAGTGGTCTGAGCTAAACCAAGCAAATGCCCAGCTCATTAGAAACACGTTTTAATTTAAGGAAATGATGCAGAATGACTTTATGTGTGCTCAGTTTTCCCCAAAAGACTAGCTTATTTTGATAAGCAGGAGGACATTAATTTGACTAAATTTTAAAATTACATGTTCAGCATGGCCATTTTCTCATATTTCAAATGGAAAATTTTCTAATCTTAAAATATTATGTAATATTCTGCCTTAAATATCAACAATCTCAGTAAGAGGCAGAGTAATTCTTCAAATATTTGCAGAACATTTGATAACTTACAAGATATGTGTTATTACAGTGTACAAGGTTTTCATTTATGTGTAGTTTTTATTTTATCCTAAGAATTTTATTCCAGCACCTTAGTTCAATATCGGCAGAGCATCCATAAAATACTGCTTTTGATTTTCACTGTCTTGAATATGTTTTTGAATGTGACACAAAACATACTGTCTGGCACAAAATTCCCTTTTATTGTTTTATTTTAATTCACATTTCTGTGGACTATTGAATCTGAAAACACCAAAGGAATCATTTCTTGTCTGGAGGTTGGATTATTCCAGTGTTTAATACCTGTGCCCATAAGTATCCCATTTCATGAATGTGTGTTGGCATGGGGAAAAATTCCCTGCTCTTTGCGTGGAGCGAAAGTAATTGGTTAAGCTGTAGCAGCTTTTGTTTATTTTTAAAAGTGATAATAAAACTTGAACTGAAAAAGGCAAAACTTGAAATAGAAAACTACTCTTGTATGCTTACATGTTTATGTGGGGTTGTCAACATTTTTATTATTTATAGTTGAATTATGTTTTGTTTGTTAAATATCCATAATGTTTATTATTTTTATATTTTGAAAAATTTAAAATAAAATAGTCTTACTAAAAACAGTTAATGTTTTAAGAGTTGTCCTGGATCTTGCATCAGTTAATGTTAATAGGAATTAAAAATATTTGCATCCATCAGGTATTCCAGTTGAGAATTCTAAAAATTGTTTATACAAAGAAGTGGTTGTACATTTCCTATTGCCCTTTACTTTCCATTCTCACTTTGTCTCCTTTGTTTCCAGTATATTACTAACCAACAACTTCTCTCACATATACACAGACCTGTTCCTTACCCATCTTTGGTTCTTGCCTCTTCACTGATGGAACACTGCTGAAACTTTCGTTATTCCATTTGGTAGTCAAAGGTTCTTAACATGAAAAATATGGAAATACTAGTGATGTCAAAGGAATACCTTACATACTAAAAGCAGAATTTGATATAAAATGCTTGTAATGTCAACCTCCAAAGACAGTTTCTGGAAGGTGTCCCACAATTTTCATCTCAATCTTCTCATGATTTGGCCTAGTTTTCCAGCATCCAACATGATTGCTTTACATTTATTTTATTGAATGACAAGTATTACACATTTGTTCTTTTATGTTTCATTACAGATATTCCTTCTCTTTGTAACAAAGTGTCCTACTTGGCCCTAACACTGAACAAAAGGTCAAAGATCTGGTTGAGAAAAAGAAGTTTCATTAAATAGGGACGGGAAAATTATTGGAAATTACGTATACAGTTAAGCACACAAGTTTGTAGCTGAGCCCTGTGGAATAGTGCAGATTTGAGTTTTGTCATTCTTTCCTTAATCTAAAATGTATTTCCTCACAAAGAAGGAATTTGTCTTTGTTAAACACACAAATCCATAGGTGGTAATTATCAGGGAGCTAGAACTTGAAAGTATAGTGATGTTATAATAGCCACTTACCTGTAAGTGATCAGTATACATTTCTTAAAAATAGCATTATGTAGTTTATACAATTTTGTAGTCTTCAGTTAATATTTTTAAAAAGCCCTTCATTGTTTGTAGATTACTCTATATTCATCCTTTCTAAAACCTTTTTAGCATTTTATTAGTGATCACAACACAGTGATCACATTCTTAATGGCAAATGGGTACATGTACTTAACCCATTTAAATTCTATTTACATTTGCTTTCCCTCGAATCCCCCTCTTCATTGCTTGTTACTCTTTCCATTTGTAGATATATCTCCCTGCTTCCTGTTATATTTTATTTATTCTATGGGTTCTTATGAGAGAAACCATATGGTACTTAAGTTTGTGTGCCTCCATTTATGTTATTGAACACAGTCTCTAGGTGCATCCACTTCTCTACAGATGACTTAAAATTATCCTTTATAGTAGAATAGTACCCCATTGTGTGTCACCACATTTTCTTTATTCATCTGTTTATAAAGGATGTTTCTATGATTTATCTACTTTTGGGGGGGCTACTATACCAATGATCATGCATGTTTAATGATAGCAAGCTGTCATTAACTATTTAGAAGATAACTAGAAATAACTGGGTTGAATGGAATTTCTATTTTTAGGTTTTTTTGAAGAACCTCCATACTAATTTCCATAGTAGTGGTCCATTCCCACCAGAAATGTCCCCCCCACACACACACACTCATCTTTGTAAACCTTTGTTATAGGAGTGCTTAATAACCATTCATTCTGGGTAAAGGTGGAATCACTATTGTTTTGATACAAAATTCACTAATGGCCATGGTTGTTTCAGCTTTTTTTTTTTTCTTTCATGTATTTGCCATTTATTTGTACTTAGTATTCTGACTGTCTACTCATTTCAGTTGGCCATGTTTTGATTGAGTCTTATATGGGGAGGGGGAGGTCTGGGTTTTTTAAAATTTCTTTAAATATTCTAGATATTAATCCTGTTTAAGGAATAGCTGGTAAACCACCACCCCCATTGTTTAGATTGTCTCTTCACTCTTAGTTATTTCTTTGCTGTGCAGCAGCTTTTTACTTTGATGTGATCTAGTTTGTTGATTTTTAGTACTGTTTCTTGTACGATTGGGGTTCTCTCCAAAAATTCTGCCTCAATCTGTGTACTTAAGAGTTTTGTTATCTTCCAGCAAATTGTTTTAACATTGAGATCTTTGGTTCATCTTGATTTCAGTTTAATACATGTTGAGACATAGGGATCTAGATTCGATCTTCATGTGTTTGGCCAATTTTCTTGGTACCATTTGTTCAAAAGGCCTTTCTTCCCCCCAATCCCTACTCCCAGGGTGTTTCCGTCTAAGATGAAGTGCCTGTTGTGCCTGGACTGGTCTCTGCATTCTATCTTGTGTTCCATTGATCCACATGTCATTTTGCCAGCTTCATGCTATTTTATCATTGTAGCTTTGTAATATGACTTGGAGTTAGGATGTATCCTGCTTTGCTCTTGTCCAGATTTTTGCTCTTCTGGGTATCTTCTAGTTCCACATAAATCTTAGGATTGTTTTCTCTAGTGTGAGGAGTGATACTGGAAATTTGATTGATACTGAATTAAAACTATATAGTATCGGTTTTGGAAGAATGACCATTTGACAATATTGGTTCTTCCTATTGAGTAGTCTTTCTATTTCTTGATATCTTTAATCTTTTTCAGAGCACTGGTCTTCATTAAGGCAGTGTTTCACTTCCTTGGTTAAGTTAATCCCTAAATATTTAATTTTTCTTGAAGCTGTTGTGTGAGTAGTAATTTCCTGATTTCTTAAGGTGTTCATTTTTGGTATATAAGAGCACTATTGTTTTTTTTGCATGTTGATTCTTATATCCTGCTACCCTACTGAATTTGGAGATCCTAGGATTCTTTCAGTGGAGTTTGTGTCTTCTATGTAAAGGATCATGTGTGGGAATAAGAATATTTCTTGTAATACCCCGTTTTTTTACTTGATTGTTTTGAGTAAAATTTCAACTACTACACTGGTGCTTAGTAGACATCTTTGTCTTGCTGTTTTTAGAGGAAAGGCTTTCAGTGGTTGTTAATAGGTTTGTCATAAATGACTTGTCAAATTGAGATGAGGTCCTTCTATACCTACTTTTTAAAGGGTTTTTATGAATGGATGGTATATGTCAGGCTTTTGCTGCATCTGAGATGATTGTGGTATTTGTGCTGTTTTATGTGGTATATTACATGTACTGATCTGCACATATTAAATCATGCTTGCATTCTTGGGATGAAGCATATTTGGTTATGATCCATGATCTTTTAAATTATTTGTTGCATTCTGTGTGTCAGTATCTTATTCAGGATCTTTACGTCTGTGTTCATTAAAGAGATGTACCTGTAGTTTTCTTTTTTAGTTGAATCCTTGTCTGATTTTGGAATCAAGGACATGCTAGCTTCTAGGAATAAATTTGGGAGTATTCCTTCTCCCTCAGTTTCATTAAAAAGCTTGAGATGTACTGGCATTAGTTCCCTGAAGTCCTTGTAGAATTCAGTGGTGAGTCCATCAAGTTCTGAGCTTTCTTTTAGCACATTCATGTTGGGGCTGTAATTTGTGACTCAGCTCTGATTTGAATTTAATTGTCACCAGGGGCTTGATTCAGTATGGTACATACATGACTGTGTCTTTGGGTGGCTTGTTCTGCTTCTGAGGGAGTCTGATTACAGTAATGTAAAGAAAGACAGTGATTTAATAGACCAGCTGTTATATTACAGTTCCTTAAGGAAACCATTAAAATGGCATAAAAAAGGTAATTTGTGGTATAGCAGTTGTAAATCCATATTACAGTGTATACACCAGTGATGGGTTACTTATAAGAGTCCATGTTAAAATGTAGAAAATTATTAATAAACTTCATGAATATAAATATATTTCTTTTAATGAAATTTGACTTGTAATTTTTAATTGGGTCTAATAGTCTAATATTTATATTTGGGTAATTATTCAAAATTAAGCAACTCACTAGATTCAATAAAGTCTCTTTATTGACTTTTTATTAATTTATTGGTAAAAAGGCTGATACAAGTGATTTAGATCCATTTTTACTACCATTGGTCCAAGCCACACAACAGGAAAATCATGCATGTACCACCAGGGTTCAGGTCATTGGGAACATGTGAGTTAATAGGCTTAATTTCATTACTGTTACTAGATTGCTCAAGGTTTTTGTATCTTCTTGGTTCAGTTTTGGTAATTCATACATATCCAGGAATATGTTCATTTTTTTCTGGATTCTCCAATTTACTGGAGTAGAGGTTTTCAGTCTCACAGCAATATTGTGATTGCCATTTTTCCTGCATGCATGAATTTTGAATTTTTTTTTTATTTTGTAAGACTGGCTAAGAACCAACTATTTGATGCATTGAAAAAATACATTTTTTTGGTCTCAGTTTCATTAATTTTTGTTCTGATCTTTTTATAAATTCCTTATATTGGCTTTGGGCTTGGGTTCATTATTTTCTAGGACCTTGAGGTACATCAAAAGCTCACTTTTTCTGATGTTGGTATTCATAGCTAATAAAATTCCCTGTTAGGACTGCTTTGTGTGCCCCATAGGTTCTAGTGTATTGTACTGGCATTATCATTTGATTATGGGAATTAATTTCTTCCTTGATTTCTGTTCATTGATTATTCAGGAGTGTACTTTTTAATATAATTTCTGTGTTTATTTCTAGTTTCATTGCAGTATGACAGTTGGCATGGGGTAATTTGTTCTTTTTTATTTAAGCATGTTTATGTCCTAGGAAGTGGTTTATTGGAGTAATTCCATGTGCTGCTAAGGATGTGTATTTTGATATTGGGTGGAATTACAGATTTTAAGTCCAGAAGTAGTACAGTCCGCTCAATGGGACAAGCATATATGTACCACCAGTGGTAACAGTTGAATTTGAGTCAGAGCCACCTGGCAATGAGACATGAATTTTGGCCCAGTTGTGGCTGTGCTAACCAATATATAGCAACATTCTTTGCCTTACCTGATAAATTTTGGCTTGATGCACATTTTATCTAAAAATTGGATAGCTTCTTTTGCTTGAT